GTTTCCACTAGCCAGTTTGGCTGATAAATGAACTGACATTGTTGTAGCATCTAAGATGTCACCAGGCACTTGGCTAGTAAGTTGAAAAGTTAGTGTTGAGCCATGACTACTCTTTCCAACCAAGAACCACAAAAAATCACTATTTTATTTAATTTATTTATTCATTCCTCCAATCCCTAAATAGTACATTAAAATACTTAAACTATTTCACATGGAAGAAAAAATGGAGGGAGAGGAGAGGGCCTCATCTAGATAAACTAATATTGTGCCCCTTAAAGTTACAAGACTTGACTTTATTTAAAAAAGAAAAGAAGTAAAGGAAAATATTTTGGTAAATTATGAGGAAGATAATGTTTCACTAGTATTGAGCAAGGTACCAGTATAAAAGTGCTTTTCTAAATATTTTTTTTGATGGTTTGCCCCTGATGAATTGCAGTATGTTATTCCAAAAGAAACATCCAATTATACTGAGACAAAATCTCCTAAGATTAGTTCAAAAAGAAGGTATGAAGATTTGATTGGATAATGCACTGCGGATGTTATAGTTGTGTAGCTCAGATACTAGTGAAACAGGCATAATCATTAGGAAACTTTCCATAGTGGAAATAATCATAAAAGAGCATACATGTATTCAGTTTAACAATGTCAGGAAATTTCAAAAGGTGTAAGGATACATAGTGCGGAGTTATTGGTTCCATTGAAGGGACATCATTTAATAAATTAATATGTACATGGCTAGTCAGTTGTAATTGGGCATTGCTCAGTCAAGCTATTATTCTTTGATTTTTTAAGACTGTCCGATTTAGGATTAATTTGGATAGTTTGAAACTATCTGAATTTATCCTGGATAGTTCGAAAAAAGTGAAGAATAATAGCTATGCCGAGATTTCTTGGGCAGATCTCACCTTTATTAAGGACTCGTACCCTTTTTGTGCTGCATTCTTAACCCCACTCACAGATGACTCCTTCCAGTCGTCTGGTATGGCCCAAGCCCCACCGTGTACTATGATACAGGGTTGCATAGTTGTTGGCTGAGGCGCCTTTCGTTCCTCCATTCCTCGATCCACAAGAAGGAATTGGTTGCAGTGTTAAGCTTTAATGGAACATTTGAACGATAGCGTGACTTGACAACAAACACCGCGATTCATTTCATTTTTCCATTTTGATGTAAAGAACGTTTTCCCGGGGGAGTGAGGGAGAGGGGGAAGAGTTGGAAGAACACAGCAGGGTAATAGATTTATTTTTTGGAAGAAAACATAACCTTAAAGGATGCCGGTCCTCTGGTTGGGGTCGGATGACGCCAACGTGCAAATTGCCTGATTTCATGGCTCTAATACTATCCAAACTCTGAAATGAAAGTCAATCGCTGGAACTTACCATGAGAGTTGGCGAATTAAGAATACAGTTCAGTTTTAGAACACCTCTAAAGGGAAATAACTTGTCCAGCCTAAACTACTCCTGCAGGTTGGAAGTAATCGATCAGGCGTTGCAGACCTATTTCGACCCCAGGCCTCTTTCTCGATTACAGATCCCTTCTATTTAACAATTAACAATTGGTTCATGCTTTAGCGTGCACTATCGAGTTATGGGGCACGCGGGAAGTTTGGAGAGCACGAAAGAAGCGTAAGAGTTGCCCGAGGCGATAGCCGAGGGCAATCTAGCTTCTTGAGTGCTCTCCAAACTTCCCAGGTGCTCCATAACTCGATAGTGCACAGCTGAAAGCATGAACCAATTGTTTTAGAACATAGCCGGTGGAATTGACGTAGTTTAGGCTGCGC